AGAAAAAGCTATATCATCAGACTATTTCTATTCCATAAATTGAAACACAGGTCCTGCCCAGGAACTGGTAGAAAAACCATTCTTTGAGACATTAGCCCGAGCATTAAGACCAGGCGGTGTGCTTTGCAATATGGCTGAGAGTATGTGGCTTCACACACATTTGATTCAGGATATGCTTTCTATTTGCCTTCAAACATTCAAGGGTTCTGTTCACTATGCATGGACTAGCGTCCCTACATATCCAAGGTAAACAAATCATTTCTAATCCCTACTTCCATCATTTCAGAGTCAAGGGTACACAGAATAGTTCAGTTGTTAAGGGTAATACTTTTTTTGTACATTGTCTGCAGTGGTGTTATTGGGTTTGTGTTATGCTCCACCGAAGGGCCGCCTGTTGACTTTTTGAATCCGATCAATCCCATTGAAAAGCTTGAGGGAGCGCTCCAATATCGTCGGGAACTAAGGTTTTACAACTCTGAGGTATGATATGCTTTTTCAAAGCTTGCAAGTTGTATTACAATTAAAATCCTTGGGTGTAATTTTAGTACATAAGTGCCCCTACAGAGTTACCAACCCTCACTGCCAGTGCTTAATGTTAACTGTATTGATGGTTGGTCATGCCCAGTTTACTGTGTGCAGTGAGGATTTAATAAGTACAGTAAGCTGATCAGAACTGAACCCTGAAAAATCGAACTAGTCAATACCAAAATTTATGAAAACCAAGCATGTCAATACCGAAACTGGCAAGAACCGGCCAAACCATAGGTGGTTTGGTACAGTTTTTAGGTTTACCATAAAGAACTGGCTGAACTGACCAAAATTGTCCAAAACCAATTGAAACCAACACGAATCAACCAAAAATAACCAAACCCGACTAAAGGTATTTGGTTCAGTTCTTGGTTTTACATTTCACAAAATCAATCCGACCCAAACCGGACCAACAATACTGGAAACTGACAAACATCTCTAAGAAATACTACTAGTATATAAAAGGTGAATATTTTCGCTTGTAGATTGTTTTCCCACTCATGTTCCTGTTTTGTTTGTTTGGATTTTTGCAGGTTCACAAAGCTGCATTTGCGTTGCCGTCTTTCGTAAAGCGGGAGGTGAGCTGTCTGCGAGATGTTCGACCTACAAATGGTGTAAACTCAGTAGTTTGATTTTTTCCCGACTATTTATTTCCATGAATATTTGGAACTTATTTGTGAAGACTTGAGAACTATCACACTTGGAGAATAAGCATTTCTAGCATACATGATATGCTGCAATTACGCTCTACATTAAGGATTTTATTTATTTGAATTATGTTGGAAGAAAACTATTGATGACTTAGTCATCAGCAATAGATTGGCAAGGGACTAGGGGTGGACACAGACCCAAGACCGAGCCGGAACTGGCCGTTTTTGTTTAACCAAAACTGATTCAGATGGTTCTGGGTCAGAAGCATATCCAGGGGAGGTTTAGGGTCCCGGGCTTGGGTGGTGCAAATTAGGGGTTTAGGATCAGAAACAGCCATCCAGTCCTTTTTTTGCAATAGAAAAGCAGGGGAGGTCCATTTAAAAGATGAAAATGGCAGAGGAGGGTTAAAAATATATGTATAAAAATTACATCCTGGAACATACTGAACCCGCAGGTTCATTAGAACTATGCATGGACTCGGGTCGGTTTGGTTCCAGATCTGGGCAGCTGGGCTGAGACCGCCTGCCCACCTGGTGCTTAACCCTCTTGTATAGGAACAAGGCCTGGCCGGGTTTTTTAAGCCTTACATATTTTCATATGATATACGTGATCTTGTCACTGATATCATTTTGGAGATTGATTTGTAGTTTATTGAGAATTAGAGATTTGTTTCTCTTATCTCTCGCAATGATAGGAAGAATGTCCCATTAAGGTGACAAGGAACAAACCGTTTAATTTGTTGAGGATTTTTTGTAGCACATTATTATTGAGGGTTTGTATTGATAAACATCACGTCTTTCTAGGATCCAATATAGTGTATTATGAGATGCACAACAGACACGCACATGTAACGATTACAAATGCATAAGTAGAAAATCTCAAGCTAATATGCATTTGCAAATTGACAAACCTAAAAATGATTAGGTAGTAGCGGAGCGGGTCTCAAAAACAATGTGCAAGGTCCTTGCAATATTGTGAAATCCCATGGTCATAGTGCATATATTGGTGTGTGTAAATACAATCATTTGCAACACCTATATGGCTATATCTTTAGATGTATATTCCACTTAGACTCTTCCTTTTCACATAAGATGCACAATGTTTTACATTAATTTTGATGAACATGCAATACTCAATCACACAATGTTAACTTTATAGTGCTAACAAGACTTACAAACTTAATTGAATGGGTGTTGAACTCATAAATAAGTTATGCTAGAAGTTTTAATGCGAAAAGTAGGATAACATGTATTATTCAACATTGATTTCTGGAGAAGTTGATATTTTATCTATACAAAAAGTATGATATCAAACTTGAGTCAATTTAGGTCAACTATTTTAAAGAAGTTACGCAATCATGAATACCGGGGTGTTTCCAAAATGTGTTACTATATTGCATAAATATTTTCAATGTAAGAATAAGTGTATATGTACTCCAAAAATAAAGAGAACATGGATAAAATATAAACAAATTTATAGGTGTACCAAGTATGGTTGACGAATGTGATCCTCGCATAGAGGCTGTTCATCTTCAGAATGCGTGTTGAGTAACATCGACCTCATGAAGATGTGCCCCATAGACTTGTTCTCTAAGCGGAACATCGATCATCTAATAGATGAGATTGTTAGCTAATAGATGAGATTGCCGAATGTGAGATAATAAATTTTCTCGACATCTTCCAGATGCTACCACCAATTATTCATGCACAGGAATGGCATCTTCTACTATCGTGCGATGGCATTCGTTCTAAAGAACTCTAGAGCTGCATACATGACGTGCACTTTGTCACGGTGTGTCAAAATAAATTCAATACTAGCACTAATACATAGTATAGTGAAGTAGAGTTCGTATCCACAGGGAAAGAAATAATTCTCTTTTTATGAACTAGTAAATAAAAGGGGGTTTTTGGTATTGTTGGAATTTAATTAATTAAATACTAAGATGAAGGACTTATATGAGATTTAATTCAAAGATAAAAAGGACTTGGCATTGCTACTTTCCACTTGTTGATATATTTTAGTCGATCATTGTTATATCTATAACTTATCCCCTCTCGAATATTCAATCGAGGAGTATATCCAATTCATCGAGGGTAGTTATTAACAACGACCATTCATTAATAACCCCTACTATTAGTCATGTATAGAACACCGCCATATACCGACTTGATAGTAGCATTTAATCTCTTAACTCCTTGATGAAATCAATTGAGATTGATAACCTCAACACAACGGTTTCGGTTTAACCAACAAAATTAATCCCTCTTAAGTTTATTAACCACGACCGTGCATTAATAAACCGAAGTTACTTACTTGTGAAACCATCAACGATTAACCATCGGTTCGTTGAACGTTTCTAGTAGTAATTAATGTTGAGATGTTAACTAATTGTCATCTTAGCAACACTCCCTAACATTAACATAGAGATAGATTAAGGGAAGAATTAATATTCAAGGAAGAAGATTAAATATGAATAATCCTACTATAATTAATGTCAAGATGTTATCTAATTGTCATCTTAGCAACACTCCCCAACATTAATATATAGAGGAAGAAAATAAATACTACTATAACTAATGTCGAGATGTTAACTAATTGTCATCTTAGCAACACTCCCCAACATTAATATATAGATAGATTAAGAGAATAATTAATATTCAAGGGAAGAAGTTAAGAAAATAACTCACAACTTTAATAATCAACAAGCTTCAAGAGCAACACCAAGAAATGGAAGTTTAGCTCCTCATTTGGAGACTAAACATACTATAAAAATATAAAAGAAATACTATTCTAAACTGAGCTTAAGAGTATGGAAGAAGGGATGCTTTTATTGTGAAGGAAAAGTTGTGTATTTATAGGTGTTTGGAGGTGGCAGGGTTGTGTACCCGATCGGGTATATAGGGTACCCGATCGGGTATTTTAGGCAATTTCCCGGAAAATCACTTTTCTAGACATGCCCGGTCGGGTATGTAGGCATACCCGGTTGGGTATGAGCCATAAAGTCAAAATCCTGCACGTTCTTTTGTCTCTTCAGATTCTGATTTTGACACCCGAATCAACTCAATACCCGATCGGGTATTGCCTATACCCGACCGGGTATATGAAATATTTTTTCAATCTTCTTTTTATCTTGTCCCCTTGCACTTTCCTTGATCTTTTGGGGTACAAACTTGATCCTTTGGATGATCTTGACCTGTTTTAAGCTCAGAATAATCCTAATCTAAACAAATTACATCTATCTAAGAAAATGAACTAATTACACCAAAAGTGTGTAATTTTCAAAACAACAACAAATAAAACTAGTTAAAATAGAAATAATACATAATAAAAATACAACTCTATCAATACACAAGGATGGTGGTAGATCTATTCATGAAGGCATTAACTCGGCCTATGAGACCTCTATGGAGGACACAATTGTCAAAAGTAGACAACAGAGCAAACCTCTGGGAGATATTCGAGATAATGAAGCAGGTCATCCTCCGACTCAATCGAAAGAAAAACATCTTAAGTGTCTAGGGTGCGGAGTTCCTATGATGTATGGTCAGTTAAAAGGGTATCAAAGCAAATCCAGAGAAAATCAAAGTCATCATTGTCATTTCAAGACAATATAACGGCTCACAGCAAAGTCATCATTGTCATTTCAAGACAATTTAACGGCTCACAGGTCGGTTCACATCCTCAACCGCTTCCTCTCCAAATTGCCCGAGATGTCCCTCACATTCTTTAAGATAATGAGGAAAGCAAAAAGCTTCCAATGGACAACAGAGTTTGAACAAGCCTTCAAAGACGTGAATATATACCTCACCTTGGTGTCAATTCTCTCCAAATTAGAAGCATGGGTAACACTTTACATGTACCTCATCATTAATATGAATACGATCTTCGTACTCATCCAAGAAGATGAAGAGTTGTGGAAGGAGATATACTAAGAGGCATAGCTCAATCACCCTTAGATCGAAAAGATGATGTTAGGCATTGTGTGGATAGTGAAGAAAATTTTCCACTACTTTTTAATGCACCTTGTCTATGTCCTCACCCAGCAACCGTTGTGCACCCTAATGAGAAGTCCACCAACTTAGTCATAATGGTAAATATGTCATTTTATTTAGCTAGTCACAATGGCTAAGACTCGACCATCAATGAAGTGGTAAGTCGTGGAAAACTACATTGTCGAGTGCATAGACAGTGATGAATGGTGGACCCTACCGACTGATAGCTCATCAGCCACCAAATTTTATGGGGGGTGTCCTAAAAACCTGGAGGGCTTCTAGGCATACTATGACATCCATTCCATTGGACTGAATTTTAAGTTATAGTCCGAACTGATACGTTATCATCTGAGTTGTTAATGCATTTCAAAATAATAAGAATACACATAAGAACATGTCACTCCTCATTAAATCGAACCAGAAAGAATCAGACTAGACCATATCATATTTAACCAGATCAACTACAGTAAATCATATCTTACCAGATCATTAATCGGGGCGATTGGCGCGCGTTAAGCTTTGCGCATATTAATCAGACCGATTAGGCCGCTTTTTAGAATTATGCATTGAACTGTACCACTATATCATGCTATAACATACCATACTGGAGCTGGCCAGACCTGAGCATTGGAAAAGTTTGAAAAAAGATGGTGATTTATAATTTATGTGGCATTCATATAAAACTCATTGAATACTGTTTACTTTATGAAGCAATAAAAATAATAAATTTAAGTGCGCACATAGTGCATGCTAGTTCTTTTGTTGATAAAACAGGTTTTGGACTTCTTCAGACTAATCTTACTTGTTCAAAACTGACCCTAAACACTTGGGAGATTTCGAACTGAACCCTTCAACTATCAAAACTGACCCTAAACTCTTGGGAGATTTCGAAGTCAAATTCTTCATTTTGTCTTTCAAGTTCCCAACATCATTTACTATATTTGTATATAAGGAGGGCACTTAACTTATTAAGCGCGTCTCAAGTTCTTGACACTGTTCTAGAAGAAACGTCATTAGTTCTTATTTCTTAACATCAAGTTCAAACTCGCACATTGCATGTAGGCTACGAGTCAATGTCATTATTTCAAGAAAATTAACTCCCCAATATCATGAAGAAGTGACTCGAATTTAAGATCCCCATAAGTGTAGAAACATAATGAATGTTGAGCTAATCCATGCGCTCTACAATTAGGATCTTAGTTTCCGTGTTGTGATGTCTAGAAATTAAGTCATCACTTCTATTTTAGATAATACTTTAGTGATAAAAATACCAAGAAGTAATTTATTTCTATGAAAAGTCTCTTTAATTGTTCATTTTTTATATAATACTTTTGATTGGTTGAGGAAGGGCACATCTAGAAAATTAATACAAAGATTATTATACAAAATACAAAGATCATTTAATAAATATTCATAATTTGAAGGTTTAAATGGAACAAATTATACAATGGGATCAGTATATGTTGCCCTATCAATCGTTTCTTTCATTTTCATTTGATATTCTGATTTCTTCTTCTTCTTCTTTACTTTCTTCGACTCTTTTCTCCTTCTCTCATCAAAATGCCAAAAATTTAATTGTGATTTTAATTTTTTTAATCTTCAACTTAAAGTAGAACTGAATTTTTTTCTATAATATTTTTTTATATTCATACACTTTTGTTTGTAATATAGTTTTCATATTCATACATTTTTTTTTGTACAATATATTTTTATCTCTTTATATGTGTTTCAGAAGGATGATTAATTAGATAAAGATGTATCACATAGAATTAGAGCAGAGTTGATGAAGTGTAAGAGTGCAACATGATTTCTATGTGATCAAGGTATGCTGACTAGACTGAAGGGAAAATTTTGTCGCACATTTTACCAAACATCAATTAGGCCTACACTAATGTATGACGTAGAGTGTTGGACAATAAAATAATGTCACATTCAAAAGATCAGTGTTTCAGAGATGTTGTGTATGTTACGTTATATGTGTGGACATACTAGAAAAGACCGCATGGGGAATGTGATAAATTAAACAAAAGGTGGAAGTAACACCTATAGAAGATAAGGTGCAAGAGTCAAGATTGAGGTGGTTTGGTCATGTGCGTAGAAGACCGGATGATGCGCCTTTAGACGAGTTGAGAGGTGGTGGGGGAAATAGGTGGGTATGAGGGGGAGAGGAAGACCTAATCAGACTTGGATTAGATGAATCAGAACTGATATGCTTCTTCTTGGGTTGGATGAGAGTATGAATTTGGACTGAACAAACTGGAAGACACATATACGTCTGGACGATTGATATCTTTCTTTCTTTCTTTCTTTCTTTCTTTCTTTCTTTCTTTCTTTCTTTCTTTCTTTCTCTTTCTTTCTTTCTTTCTTTCTTTCTTTCTCTTTCTTTCTTTTCTTTTCTTTCTTTCTTTCTTTCTTTCTTTCTCTTCTTTCTTTCTTTCTTTCTTTCTTTTCTTTCTTTCTTTCTTTCTTCTCTTTCTTTCTTTTCTTTCTTCTTCTTTCTTTCTTTCTTTCTTTCTTTCTTTTCTTTCTTTCTTTCTTTCTTTCTTTTTTCTTTCTTTTCTTTCTTTCTTTTCTTTCTTTTATCTTTATTTTATTTATCATTCTATTTTCTTATGTTATTTTCATCTTTTATTTTTTCCTATGTCTTTTATCTCTTTTATCTTTAATCTATCTTATGTTCATATGTTATTTTTATCTTATCCATTTGATCTCACCTTATCTTTTTATTTTTCTTATCATTCCACTCCTTTTTCCTCTGATATCATGGATCAATTCATGTTAGTCGACCCCAAAATCTTTTGGAATAAGACTTGGATGTTGTTATTGTATATCTTTTAGTGGGTTTTAAGACACCAAGTTTATTTATTTCAATTTACATTTTCATTTGTGTGATTTACATTTTCATATGTGTGAGTTACATTTTACATGATTCATAAGTTAAAATCATTATTTGATAATACATAGTGTTACATCTTCTTATGTGCGATTTACATTTTCATGTGTGCGAGTTACATCTTTTTATGCACAATTTAAATCTTCATGTGCGCGAGTTACGTATGTTTCGACTTGGCTCAACAAGTTACACTTTGCATACACACGAATTACATTTTGAATTGCTTGAAGTTACATTTTACACACACGATTTACATTTCATATATTAAAGATGCCATAATGACCACTAGTTGAGAGTAATACGAGTTACAATCTAGTGAACGAGTTGTATTTATTGCTCACTGTGATTACATTTCGTAGCAGCGTGAATTACATTTCAATACACACGATCCACATCACAAAAAATATTGAGAGAAAACACATGTATTGTTCATAAGTTTGTTTTTAATTAAATCTTAGACATGGATAATGTTGGAGGAAAGGGTCAATTCAGTACATCAACTTGTATGAGTTAGAGTAATTCAGTAAAAAGTAAACTACATTGCATTTGATCTTTTTAAGTACACAGATTCGATTGTTTAATGTTAATTAAGTACACCCGTTAAATTAACACGTTAATACGCCTGAGTTGGCTAACAGAATGCTGAGTAAGAAGGGGTAATGGACCAAGATTATGGCGCCGACCTTCACGAAGTTGACCAAATAGGGAAAACCGACTTCCGGAGGTCGACCTCGGGGGGGCATTGCCTAGTAGGGGTGCATTGACCAAGGGGAAGTCGGACTGCGGAGGATTGACGTCGACCAAGGAGTTGGGGCTGGCGTCGATCCTCAGGAAGTCGGCCTATTAGCATTCTGTTAGCCAACTCAATCGTATTAGTGTGTTAATCTAACAGGTGTACTCAATTAACATAAAAAAAACCAAGTTTGTGTATTTAAAAAGATCAAATGCAATATAGTGTACTCTTTACTCCCACCTCGTACAAGTTGATGTACTCAATTCACACTTACCTCAACAATGTTGTATTAGGAGTAGATGTACGATGTTTACGATGGACCGTTCTCACGGACCACACTATAACAACTATCTAAGGAATTATTTAAAAAGAAAAATATTTAGTGTACACTATTTTGTGTACGTCATTCACACATGTTGTCTGTCTATGCAAACACAATTGTATACACAAAACAGTTGTATGTATACATAAAATTATTTTGTGTATACATATAATTATATCTGTGTAAACTATCAATGTGTGTGAACAGTACACAAATCCAAACATTTCTGATTTAAAAAAGAGAAAAGAGTCAAATGAGGTATGTTACTATTATGAAATGAAAAAATTGCACTTTTGGTCCCATGACTATTATGTCACTTCCACATTACTCCCTTGACTTTCAATTTAACCAAATCTAGTCCGTGACCTTTTCCCCCTTCACCACCCGGCGTCATTCCGACCACAACTCCGGCAAATTTTAACCGGAAATCAATTAATGAAGGTTAGTTGCGTCATTTAATAGCATTTATAGGTTTTCTTATCGAAAAAATTTCACTTTTGGTCCCATGACTATTATGTCACTTGCACATTACTCCATTGACTTTCAATTTAACCAAATCTAGTCCATGACATTTTCCCCTTCACCACCCGTCGTCCTTCCGACCACAACTCCGGCAAATTTTAACCGGAAACTCATTTATGTAGAAATATTGGGACATTTTAGTAATTGTATGTTGTTAAAAACGGCTACCTACAAAATTAACTTCAATTAATGTTGAGTTAATACGCCGACTTCCTTCATTCTCAAAACCGAAGTCTTCTCCAATTTCCCAAACTTCCGTCAGCCTGAAAATCCCCAACCATCGTTCGAACAATGAGGACCCGTCCGGACCGTCGGAGTGAAGGAGAAGGAACAAGTGCTGAACGACGTTCGCCAACAAATGCTGGTGATAACGGTAAGAGGCTGAACTTTTTTTAAAAAGAGTGGAAGAAAGTAATGAATACAAGGCTGAAATGAGGTGTATATAATTGGTGTTTGCCCATGTTAGGGGTTTTATGTTGAGGTTGAAAAAGAGGTTTTTTTTTTAAAAAGAGTGGAAGAACGTAACATGTGCAAACACCAATTATACACACCTCATTTCAGCCTTGTATTCATTACTTTCTTCCACTCTTTTTTTTTAAAAAAGTTCAACCTCTTACCTTTATCATCAGCATTTGTTGGCGAACGTCGTTCAACACTTGTTCCTTCTCCTTCACTCCAACGGTCCGAACGGGTCCTCATTGTTCGAACGATGGTTGGGGATTTTCAGGCTGACGGAAGTTTGGGAAATTGGAGAAGACTTCGGTTTTGAGAATGAAGGAAGCCGGCGTATTAACTCAACATTAATTGAAGTTAATTTTGTAGGTAGCCATTTTAACAACATACAATTACTAAAATGTCCCAATATTTCTACATAAATAAGTTTCCGGTTAAAATTTGCCGGAGTTGTGGTCGGAAGGACGACGGGTGGTGAAGGGGAAAAGGTCACGAACTAGATTTGGTTAAATTGAAAGTCAAGAGAGTAATGTGGAAGTGACATAATAGTCATGAGACCAAAAGTGTAATTTTTTTGATAAGAAAACCTATAAATGCTATTAAATGACGCAACTAACCTTCATTAATTGGTTTCCGGTTAAAATTTGTCGGAGTTGTGGTCGGAAGGACGATGGGTGGTGAAGGGGAAAAGGTCACGGACTAGATTTGGTTAAATTAAAAGTCAAGGGAGTAATGTGGAAGTGACATCATAGTCATGAGACCAAAAGTGGAATTTTTTCATTATGAAATCGTTACATAAGGTCATATAAAGTACTTAATAAAGTGTCATATGAATACATGTACTTAATAAAAACAATCAAATGAGTCCTAACAACCAATTCACAACCTCGTAATCCCGATTTTAGCGTGCTTCTGGCTATCTTTTCAAAATGGATTATAAGGCTGGCGTAGTGGCGTGTGGCCAAGATTGATCTAAATACAAGGCAAAAATAATGTCATGTAAGCTAAAATCGAGATTAGAAGGTTGTGAATGAATTGTTTTGACTCATCTAATTGTTTTTTTTATAAGTAGACGTATTTATATGAAAGAATATATAACCTTATATGAGTAGTAGAAGATCTTATTTAATTCTTTTCCGTTTAAAAAATGGATCAAACCAAAACTTTGAGATGAAAGGCATGCCTATCCTTGTAATCTTCAAAACGGGTATGGTATTGGCATAATCACAGTGTAATCCAGAGTGTGGTCAAAGATGAAATCCTCATGTGGGGCCAAGGAGCGGTGGGCTGTTTGTTCGTAGGAATGGAATAGATAGGATGGAGCAGACTCTATAGTCTTCAGCAGGAGTTGCAGGTGCTTGAGCGCTGCCACGTTGCAGCTCTCTTTCGTCACTCCAGACTAGCAAGCACCTTCAACAGCCAGACGTCTCTTTTCTGTGAGTCCCGCATTCCTTCCTTCCCTCATATATCCATCTGCCCATCGCCCCACCGTTTTTTCGTGCCTAGGGTTTCTCGCCTCTCTGCAAAATCTCAAGTTAGTTGAATGAGCTTTTTCTTCTTTTGCTGGATTTTCTTTCCGTCTTCCTTTATTGATCGGCGGTGAAAAGCTGGGGCGGATTCCGATTCTGTGATCTGACCTGTTGTTTGGTGTCCTTTATCCGCTCCGCTTTCTGCTATGCTTATGCATGTTACCGGATCGATCTGCGATTTTCCGATGTGTGCCGTTGATGTTGTGTTGAAAATGAAATTCGAAGTTCTTTATTTTTATTTTTTTGAATTTGTGATCTTTGATTCGGATCTGCTTTTCGTGTTAGATAGACTCGAGGTTCCAGGTATCAGCGTCTGTTTGAGTGCAGAATACGATCCTCGTTTCTCTGCAACTTCATGTGTTTTGAGCTTATCCTCGCAGGGAAAATGATGTTTTGAAAGAGTTTTTTTTTAATCTCATTGTCTGCCCCAAGTGTGTGGTTTTTATTTTAATTCCGATAGAATTAAAGTGTTCTCGGCCATCGTAAATATTAAATTAAAATCAGTACTTGGTGTTATTTCTACCACTGCCAAAATCAAATGGAAATTAAGATGCCTCATTTATTGTATTTTAAACTTTTCATGAACTTGCAACTGCTTTATCTATCATTTCTTCGTAACCTGACAATTGGAACCATCTTTCTGTTTTCAGAGACTAATAGTTCAGTGATGGCATTCGCTTGAGGTTCTCTAGTTGATTTAGATGGTATGCATTAGTCCCTTGGGGTCAGTGATTGTTGGAGCTCGACATTTTGGGAATCTTCAATCTCCTCATGCTGTAAGCTGTGCATTGGGAAGGAGGATTAACCATTCTGTTCGAATTTTGATTTCAACTAGAAACATAAGTCATAGTATTTGGGGTTGCATATTTAGAACTAGAAGAAAGATGATGGTGGATACTGGTTCAACAGCCAAACAAGGGCCAGTTGTGGATGTTAATTCTGAGAAGGATGATGATTCTAGTTATGCTAGTGGAGGATGGAAGAGGTGATTGATTTGAACAGATTTGTTTATGTTGTACGCGTTTTTCATTTTTGCACTTGTTAGATGCCTAAGGGTGTATTCATGTAAGATAAGACTAAATTCCATCACTCACTATTTTTTTCACTATGTATTCTTTTGTGCTTGGCAGTGAAGATGGAAGGTTGAGTTGTGGTTATTCTAGCTTCAGAGGAAGGAGAGCAAGCATGGAGGACTTCTATGATATTAAGAGTTCCAATATTGATGGACAGACTATTTGTTTATTTGGGATATTTGACGGTTAGATTATTAGCCTGTTTGCTATAATCATTTTTAATTGTTTCTTAAGTTAGTAAGTGTAGCTTCATTTACCTTGTTACTAGCATGAACTCTCTTAGTAAAATTAAATAGCCTTGATGCCTCCGAAGTTTGTGTAGTTTAATGACATACGCATGCATCAATTTGTTGTTGCGGTGCTGTCAGAAAATCACAGCACAACACTGTTTGGCCATTTATGGATACATCTTCAATGATCTGTGCATGGCAGCGGTTGATAGATCTTTCTAAAAAACATACTATAAAGTCACACGCACCTATTGATTTTTAAAATGGCTTGATATTTGGTTTCTATTATTGGTAGAACAAATCTACATTTATTTATAGCTTTATCTAGCAATGGGTCTTCAATCCAGAATCTGATGGAAGCTTCTGGATTCAAGTTTGGCACTTTGAACTGTTGCTATCCCCGGACTGAACCTGCCATTTTCATTTGGAGAAGCTAGAGTTTGGAAGCCAATGGATATTAGTAATAATTTTTCTGTGCTACTGCAGGCCACGGGGGCTCAAGAGCAGCGGAGTATTTAAAGAAAAATCTCTTTGAGAATCTGTTGAAGCATCCCGAGTTTGTAACGAACACCAAATCTGCTATAAGTAAGACATACTTTCATGTGCTTCACTTTCACATTTTCTTAATGTGAATGTGCTATGCCTATGTATCGTATATTATAATCTCTAAAAGCGGGGGTTGCGGGGAGGGCTGGGCACCTGTCTATTGTTTCCCCGAAGAAAATGGATTTTAAGAAAGTTAATGTCCATTCCAGGCGAAACATATCAACAAACAGATAAGGAATTTTTGGAATCTGAAAAAGATACTCTCCGTGATGATGGTTCTACTGCATCAACAGCAGTTCTGGTTGGAAATCATCTATATGTTGCCAATGTTGGAGATTCAAGGACCATCATCTCAGTAAAAGGAAAAGGTATTTTCAGATGCTCAGCACATGACATTTTTCTGGTATATATATTTAACATATGTGCCTTTATCATATTGGTAGTTTAGAAATCCAATATATTAATTCTCTCAGTACTTTCATTCCCAGATTCCTCTAATCTGGGACTGTTAATTCTTAATAAGGTTCACTTTTAGAAACAAAATAATGAAGCATTTTAGTTAAGTTTTCTGTTTTTCAAATTCATTTTCTGTGATCAAAATTGTTGCATGTGAAGTGGAATTTTCATAACCGGAACAGCATATATATTCGTTTCTTATTCATATACACCAATTTTAAGACTGCAGTGGATGTAGTTAGGTATTTGGCTTTCTTGGTAAAATTTTGAGGTTTTTGGCTGTAGGCTCTTGAGTGATGTCTCTTTTTCATCTTAAATTCTGGCAGCAATTGCTCTGTCTGATGATCATAAACCAAACAGAAGTGATGAGAGAAAGAGAATAGAAAATGCAGGTGGTATTATTATGTGGGCAGGTAAGAATATTTCTACTGCAAATGCATGCTTAAACCAGATATTTCTCGCCCACTTCTCTCTCAGCTATGCCATTACCCACGCATTCTTCTTTCGTTGGAAAGATTAAGACCATGCTTGATAAATTTGTTATTTCAACAAATTTATCAAATAAAATGTCAAAGCATAACAAGTTATAATAGATGTCGGGTCAATAGCAGCTTAGTTAGTTGTCAATCCACTGCATTGAAAACACTAGTTCATTCGTTGAGTGGATTGATAGCTAACAGCCAAGCACATCCCTTCGCTATGACAGTATGCTACCAGCTATTCGGCAACTACATATCATCAAACATGGTCTAGTATAAGTGACGAACAAATATATGTAGAATATAACATTTATGTAACTAAATGATATTATAATGCACCATTTATGTTTGCTGCTTTTTCTATTGAAATATTTACGTAGGAACTTGGAGGGTTGGAGGAGTGTTAGCAATGTCCCGTGCCTTCGGTAACCGCATGTTGAAGCAGTTTGTTGTGGCCGAGCCTGAGATTCAGGTAAGAAATTGTCATTTTTATTCAACGTTTCATTTGATTTCGTTTATTTTCAATGATTTAGCTTTTTAAACAAGAAAGCAGAATAATCATTCTGTGCAACGTTTATATTACAAGCTTTTTATTCCAACGTTTGTTCGTCCATTTGTTCCGTGCAACTTTTGTGCATCCATTTTTTCCGTGCAACTTTTGTGTGTCCATTTGTTTCATTTATCTTATTTATCTCCTTTTATTCTATCATTTTTACTTTATCTTATCTTTTTTTATCCTTTTTATCATATCTTATCTTTTTATTCTTCTCATTTTTTTTAGCCAAACTATGTTTTGGTTGAAGATCACCTTTTTTCCCAATTTACAGGACCAAGCAATCGATGAAGGACTAGAGTTGCTTGTGCTGGCCAGCGATGGGCTATGGGACGTGGTGCCGAATGAGGTAAGGGGCTTATCGAAGTATTAGTATACCCAAAGTGCCCTTTTCCGTCTTGTATGATGTAACGAAATTTGCACTGATTGCACAGGACGCCATTTCACTGGCAGAGTCGGCAGAGTCGCCTGAAGCGGCTGCTAGGAAGCTGACGGAGACCGCTTTTGCCCGGGGCAGTGCTGACAACATCACCTGCATTGTGGTGAAGTTTTCTCATCCCATCAATGCAGAGGAACCGGTTGAGGTTGCCGAGCAGGGCAAAGCTGATGATGGGGAGCCAGCTTCTGCGCCTGCAGAAAAAGAAAATTTATAATTTAATAAGTTAGGAAATTTGAACTCAAACTCTAGTTTTCATGGTAAAGATCGAATGGCGGGACATATTTGTTCATTCATTTCTTTTTGGGTCCATTTCGTCTATAATTTGATATTTTTCTTGTTATATTTTTTTCTTCTTGTAATTGAAATGAAACTATATTTGTTATTTTGCTTGTAAGAGTTTGTGTTTACCCGCCACCCTCTGAGTAGAGATAAATTTATGATGAGTTAAATATCACAGGCATTTTTACTGGTCGGGGCGGGTAAAAACTCATAAATCTTTTTTGCAGCAAATGCCCAAAATGGCATGCACTTAGAATAATGAAAAATCAAAGTTTATCCTCCGCAACTCAACCAACTCTTTTGGGTGGTGAAAGTTGAACCCGCCATGCACTGATGGAAGTGATGGAACTATGGAAGCCTATACGATCACTACTTGTTGGCGTAAATTTGTTCATGAAAATTATCTGGAGGAAGGTAATGTTCCTGTGTTTGAGCTTCTCGAGGTGAATGAACAGGTGGTTTATGTTTTCTCTTGAAATGGAATTACTCTGAATAGGAGTTGCATGTTTCTTCCCTAAATGATCCGGAAAATATGTAATTACGATCGTGCTTGAAGAAATTATAGATTGAGATATTACCCAAAATGGGACTAAAAAAGTTTGGAAATTCCAAAATAGGACTTCCATGTTTTTATTTCCAAAATAGGACTAATTACTGCCATGTTTTGGCAGTACCAGACTTCAAACATGGCCGTATTTTCCAAATTTGGCAATAATTAATCTTATTTTGGGAATAAAAATATGACAGTCCTATTTTGGAATTTTCAAACTTTTTAAGTCTCATTTCGGGAACTTTCCCTCATAGATTTATAGAGAACAGATGGACGCACAAAAGTTGCACATAAATTCCACGCAATAAATGCATGCAAAAAAGTTGCACGCGCAAGAGTTGCACGAGTAATTGCATGGTATTTGGCTATTTGCTACGGAGTACATCTTAGTAGTCTTGGACTCGGGCCGGGTGGCCCGACCCGGAACCGGCCCGGGACTGGTACTGTGCTGAACCGGCCCGGCCCGGTGGCCCGGCCAGTGACCGGTCCGGGTAGGCCCGAGCCGGGGGGTTCCTGGTGCGGGCTTGGGTCACCCAAAAGCCGAACCGTCCTGGCCGGTTCGGGCCCGGTTCCCATCTTTTTATTTTTATTTTTTTTCATTTTTTTTTAACTTTTTCGGGTTGGGTTGGGTATTTTGGGCCATTTGGGGTGGTTTGGGGTGGGGGGTTAATTAGGAAAAGGGAAAAGAAAATTGACCCAAGGCCCGGCCCAGCCCGGACCCGGCGGCAACCTGGGCTGGTCCCGGGCCCACCTATTCAGAACCGGAGGCTCGCCCGGCCCGAATCCAGCCCTACACCTAGTCATGGACCCGGTTTGGGCCGCCCAACCCGGGACCGGCCCGTCCTGCTACTGTGCGGGCCCGGAACCGGCCCGGTTCTCGAGTTCGGGTTGGGCCTAGGCCCGGTGGGGGGGGTCCGGGCTCGGGCCTTGCATTTGGCGAACCGGCCCGGCCAGGCCTGGGTCCGGGCCGAATTATTTTTTTTTTTTTCATTTTTGGGTTTAAACGGGTTGGGCTTGATGGTTAGGAGGGGTTTGGGGGGTGGGGGGGTGGGGGGGGGGGTTAGAAAAGCAAAAAACAAAAAAAAAATTGACCAAACCGGAGGCCCGGACCCGGTGGCTACCCGGGCCGGTCCCGGGCCTTCCTTCCCAAAAAAAAGCCCGGCCGGGCCCGGAACCAGAACCGGCCCGGCCCGGGTCCATGACTACCTACTAGGCATGGACCCGATTCGGGCCGCCCGGCCCGCTACTGTGCGGGCCCGGAACCGGCCCGGTTCTCGGGTCCGGGTTGGGCCTAGGCCCGGTGGGGGGGTCCGGGCTCGGGCCTTGTATTTGGCGAACCGGCCCGGGCCCGGGTCCGGGCCGAATTAATTTTTTTTTTTTCATTTTTGGGGTTAACCGGGTTGGGCTTGATGGTTAGGAGGGGTTTGGGGGGTGAGGGGGGGGGGGGGTTAGGAAAGCAAAAAAAATGATCAAACCGGAGGCCCGGCCCGGCCCGGACCCGGTGGCTACCCGGGCCGGTCCCGGGCCTTCCTTCCCCAAAAAAAACCCCGGCCGGGCCCGGCTTGGAACTTGAACCGGCCCGGCCCGGGTCCATGACTTCTACCTACACCTAAGACTTGTGTTCAAATAGTAATGGAATTTAACGAGAGGGAAAAATAAATAGTGGCTATTAGATTCATCAAAAGTTTGGGAGGATCGCGTACAAGTCATTTAAGAAAATTTGAGAATTTACTTCATTTCTTTTTGTTCATTCACTACATCCCAATAGTAAGCAATCTATTTTTTTCTTGCATCAATGTGCTTCCTAACAATGTATGTACTAATTCGTTGTATTGCATTTTCAGTTCTGTATAATTGTATAAATATAAATCGTTTTAATATTACAATCATATTTTTAAGGTAATGAATATATTTATTTTATTTTTATTTCTATATACTAATTTCATTCTATTGAGAAATATTGAGAAATTACTCCATATATAATTGATTAAAATCAAGGTAATGATTTTTTTTTTTTGACTTTTTATACTTTATTAACCATTATAGTAGCTTAAATGATCATTTTAATGCTCTAATGTATGTTGTAGTGCCTTTGATGATAACTTATTTTTAAATTTAAATCATTATTGTTGTCCATCTTCTACTGTTTGGGTATATCTAATTAACGAAAAACCTCTTCTATTAAACCAATTTATGTAAATAATATTACCTCCGTCCCATTTTATGTGTCTTAGTTTGACCCGACACAATTATTATGAAGTGGTTGAAAAAGTAAAAGTTGTGGTTGGAGTTTGAGTATAATAAAGTGAAATGGTGTAGGCCACATATTTCTTTCCCAAAAAGAAAAGTAGACATTTATTTTAGAACAATCTAAAAAGAAAAGTAGAACATGTAAAATGGGATGGAGGGAGTAATACGGATAGTGAGTGTACTTGATATATACTAAAAATGTAGGAAAGATTAAAGATGTAAGTGTAGGAGTAGAAATGTTGGATTAGACATTACAATTAATTGTACACTATAATCATTATAATGTCTCGGAAATCATTGTTGGGACGTTCTAAGTAAGAACCGAATAGATGCCGGCTTAGCTATATGGTAGGGTTGGGCATCGGTTTTCGGTTCGATTTTATCGGTTTCGGTTCGGTTTGGAACGGGTTGAAAGAATTATTACCAAACAAAAATTATACTATTTTTTGGTTCGGTTAGGTTTGAATTTGTTATTTTTAATAAAATATGAAGATTTTTTTTGAATTTCTTTAGTTCAGTTCGGTTTTTATCGGTTTCACTTTGGTTCGGTTTAATACGGTTAGGAAGAAATACTACCAAATCCAAATAAAATTGCGTATAGTCCGACTTCAGTTCGGTTTAGTGCGGTTCGGTTAAACCGAATTGTTATGCCCACCCAGGCGGGAAGGTTATTTTCGAAATTGCGCCTAGAACGCTCTGTTCTAAAAATCGTTCTAGGCGCCCGACTAGTCCCCGCCAGGCGCTAGGCGGTGATCGGGCGCCCCGATTTTCGTCTAGGCACTCCGACTGATTGGTTTGCCATCTAGGTGAATTAGTCGGCCGCCTATGGCACCTAGTTGCCCGTCTAGAGTGCCTAATCGGTCGCGTAGGCCGTCTAGATTCACCGAACATTACTTTCTTTTTAAATTTTAATTTTCTAAAAGATATATGTACTTTAACTTTAGTCATGGCACCTAGTTGCCCGCCTAGAGCGCCTAAATTTTATCATTATTTATATTTATAACATAATTAAGTTAAGTGATTAGTTATCATATACTCCCTCCGTCCCGCTAAGAGCCCTCCGTCCCGCTAAGATTGTTCCAGACACTATTCACTTAGTCAACACAAATCACTCTTAATCTCTTACTTTATATATCAAATTTTTATCAAATTTGATTTTAGTTTTTGCGACTTTGTAATGTTTTTAATATAGTTTTTGAATATGTAATTTTTTTTTTCAAAAAATATTTTGAGTGTGGTCAGGGATCTGTTTTCTTTATTGTCGATCAAGCATCGTAAACCAAATTGTCCCAAACATAGTGGGACGGAGGTAGTACTAAATGTGATAATTCTATCTTTCATGTTTGTTAATGTAAATGTATATATGTATTTTATACACGCAAAAATACAATATTACTTATCATATTGATGCAAAAATATAGATAAAAATACAATTTGTATGTCTTCAACTAGTCCCCGACTAGGCGCCCGGCCGCCTGGGCGCTAGGCGTTGGGCTAGACTGCTGGAGCCCAACTAGCGCCTAGTACCTTTTTAGATATTGATAATACAAATATACGACCGTATCAAATATGAAAGTGTAAATGTAGATAATGTAGGATTAGAGATTGAGGAAAAAATGAATCAAATGGTTATGTATTTATAATTTGTTTTAGCCCTCTACGGCTCTACCCCCAAAAGGTTATATAGTTGTTACTAGTCATTCGACACGGCTTGTTGCCCCCAATCCCACCCTTTAATTTAAAAAAAAAATGTTTGGACTGGGCCCACTCTATCCAGTCCCCATTTAGCCTACCCAAGACGAGAACCACCCCAAACCCGATCGGCCGGTCGGGTACCTGATCAAAGACTGGGACCGGTAACTCGGACCGGGTCCGGTCCCGCACAGTAGCGGGCCCATGATTGGGTATATTTTTATCCTCAAGACTTGTATGTTTTCCTTTTTCTTCGTAGGATGAAACGTAATTACAAATACATACTGTGTATATTTTTATGTCAAGACTTATATTAAGATAACTTGAAATAAAAAATACCAAACATAAATAGTTACAAGAAGGGTCCTGTCTTCTCAAGAAACTCCAAAATTAGCTAGAATAAGTGAGATTTATGTGGTGGAACAAATTTTTCCATTGTATTAAGGACTGAAATTTCCTGGTCTGGTATGATCTGAATTGGTCTAATAAACATTTGGTCTGTATATTTTATAACTATCCAAGTCTGATATAATCTTGTCTGATTTGACCTGATCTGGTCTGAACTGATCTAGTATGAGATTGAATACAGTCCAACTGTCCAAGTATCAGTGTTTGGGCTCGGACCGAAACCGGTATCGGAGCATACCAGACCGGTACCGGGCTCCACTTTTCCAGAACCAGTACCTCGGGCCTGGCCCAACCCAGGC